AAAGCCCCCTCCCTAGCCAAAGGAACAAAAAAAAAAGGGTACTATAGCAACACAGAAAACTCTTTGACAACCTCCCTACTCCAGCCAAACACCACAGGGGGAAAAAAAAAAAACAAAACAAAACATCCCATCCACATCAAAGTAGGGAGACTAGTTTTCCATCCTGCTGGCTATAACAAAGTACCCCTCTTCTCCCAACACCAAAGTAATCTCACACAAGACCAAGTGAGGAGCTGGAACTTTCATACCTACCCACGGTACCACTGGGGGTACTGTTAAAGGCTTCTTTAAGAGTTTCATAATATAATAACCAAAATGTCAAACCAAGAATAAGAAAATCTCAACTGGAATGAGAAAAAGCAATAGACAGCCATAGATATTGGAATTTTCTGATGAAGTATTTAAAGAAGCTATCCTAAAACCTTCAATGGGAAATTAAGAACATACTTGAAACCAGTGAAGAAATAAAACATCTCAGAAAAAAATGATATAAAGAAGAACCAAATGGAAATTTCAGAACTGAAAAGTACAATACCAAAATAAAAACTCAGTGGATATCTTCAACAGAAGAATGGAGAGCACAGAGGAAAGAATTATTGAACTAAAGATAGAGAAGTAGAAATTACCCACTCTGACCACAGAGAAAATAAACTGAAACAAACACAGCTTTGAAGACTTTGAGACTATAACATAGTTCTAACTTTCATGTCATTGGAACCCCAGAAGAAAATGAGAAAGAGGGGGGACCGAAAAAATATTTGAAAAAATATTGGCTGGATATTTCCCAAATTTGGCAAAAGACATAAATCTGCATGTTCAAGATGTTATGCAAAACTTAAACAGGATAAACTCAAAGATACCTACAACAAGTTATATCATAATTACAGTTCAGAAAACTGAGACCAAGAAAACATCTTGAAAACAGTTAAGAGAGATGATACCTTGCTCACAGGGGAGAAACAATTTGAACAACAGCAGATTTCTCATCAGAAACCATGGACCTAGAAGGAACATTTTTCAAGCACTGAAAGAAAAGACCTGTCAATCCTGAATTCTATAGCTGGTGAAATTATACTTCAGGAACGAAAGGGAAAGACATTCTCAGATGAAAGAAAACAAAGATTAGTTGCCAGCAGACCTACTCTAAAAGAATGGCTAAAGGGAGTCCTCAGGCAGAAAGGAAATTATAAAAGAAGAAAACTTGGAACATTAGGAAGGAAGAATGAACATAAAAGAATGAATATGGGTAAATATCAGACTTTTCTCCTCTTGAGGTTTCTAAATTATGTTGTTCAAAACAAAAGTTTATAGGAAAATGTTTATAGCGAAAAGTAAAACACTGAAAAAAGGAAAGTCATAAAATCTATTAATGTCATATACAACTAGGCAAAACTAAACAATGAAGTGCAAAGGAATAATTAACCTAGAAGTCAGAATATTCATTATTTTGGGTAGAGAAGAATAGGATTGGGGTAGGGTCTAAACAGAACAGGTGATACCTATCAGACTGGTAATGTGTTATTTCTTAATTGGCAGATAGATAACCTTTTGTTTATTTTACTACTGTTATTAAACTAAACATATACATATATTATGTATATACTATTCATGCATATTTAATAAAAAAGTAAACAACTAAAGAAATTAATTGACTCAATCTGAATCTGAAATGATCTGTTAGCTTGCCTGTAATGCAGGAGCTCCAGACCAGGAACCTTCACCTGGGATATTCCGAAAAAACCCACCAGGAGGACCAATGGAGTAGGACATGTGATTATTACAAGCAGGGGAGCACCAATGGCAGCCAGTCAGAGCTGCTGCAAAGAAACCGCTGCTGGCCAAAGCAAACAATGTGTCGTATACACAGGCAGAGAGACGGGTTATTTTATTGGGGGAGCAGCCACCTTCCTATCCGCCTGCGGATGGGAGGAGATGTGCTGCCAAGTTACAAGAGTAGGTAATGTCCATGGGAGCAGCTGGAAGATCAGATAACATCCATGGGAGCAGCAGAGCAGCCACCTTCTCAGGCGGATTGGAGCAAGATGTGCTGCTTGGTTATAGCAGCTGGTTACAGGAGCAGATAATGTCCATGAGAGCAGCAAAAAAATGTCCTTGAGAGCAGACACTGCCAAGAGCCCTTTGTATATTGCCTTCCTTATGACTACTGACCAAGCAGCCATCTGTCTTCTGAGTACATAGAGGGGCTATATTCTGAATTAACCCCATACTGCCTATCACGCACACTTAAACTTCTGGAATAGTGGAATGATGTCATAGACTCTTCTACTCTTACAACCTATACAAAATATATAATTTTAGGATCAAAACTTATAAGGAGGGAGTATCATTCTTAGACCTACAGTATGAGGTTATTTGGCACCTGCCTTAGTATATTCTGGATCATACTAAATGGGAAAATTTATCTTGAATATTGCATAGTTAATACAGGATGGAGAAGTCATAGATCTAGAAATTAAATAAATTTAGCAACAAAGCAAATATATTAAACAGCATCCAGTTTAAATGTGGTAACTAGTGGTCTCTAAGCTGCTAGTATAAATGCCCCTTTGTCTGTTAGCCTAAGGTTCTTGTCATTTTAGTTGTTCTGGGTTGGGAAGCCAAATAACACCAGCTCGTGTTCATTTTGCTTTGGATAATGGCCAAATTTAACATTCTATTCTGCCTTAAAGAATATATTGTACATTTCTTCCTAACTGATAAGGAAAAATTGAGTAGAATAGGCTCAAGAAATCTGATATTTCTCACAGCAGGCAAATAGCTTAGTGGCAAATAACCATATAAAAATGCTTACTTTAGAAAAGGTACACTTGATACATTGTCACTGGAAGAGCACAGTATTTAAAGCTTGGGTATTCCGTTCCTAAAAAATTTTATTTTAAAAACTCAAGAGACAATGCAGTGATGAGATATCATTCAGTCTTTACTTACTACTCTTTATCATTAGAATTTTTATAATCTATTTATGTTTTAATATTTCTCCGAATAAGAATTAAAAAGTTGTAATTGGATATAAATATCATTGTCAATCATCTAGGATCTAAATTAGTCCTGTCGAATAGCCACGAAATAGAAGCCACAGGTATAATTTTAATGGGTTTTTAATAATATTTTTCAATTACTGTTAACATACAATATTATGTTAGTTTCAGGTATAAAACATAGAGATTAGACATTTATATAACTCATGAAGCGATCAACCTGATAAATCTATTAACCATCTGACACCATACATAGTTATTACAACATTATTGACTATAGTCCTTACATTATACATCCTGATGACTGTTTTGTAACTACCAATTTGTACTTCTTAATCCTTTCTTTTTTTCATCCACCTCTCTAACCCCTCCAGCATCTAGCAACCATCAAAATATTAGTTGTATCTATAAGTCCGTTTCTGTTTTATTTTGCTCTTTAGACTCCACATATAAGTGAAATCACATGGCATTTGTCATTCTCTGATTTACTCCACTAAACACAATACCCTCAGTGTTGTTGTAGATGACAAGATTTCATTCTTTTTTATGGCTGAGTAATATTCCATTGTACCTATGTACCTCCTCTTCTTGATCCATTCATCCATTGCTGGATACCCAATTTGCCTCCATATCTTGGCTACTGTAAATAATACTGCAGTGAACATAAATATTTACATGTCCCTTCAAAGTAGTATTTTGGGTTTGAGTTGCCTTGGATAAATACCCAAAGTGGAATTACTGAGTTCTTCTTTGTCTCTTGTTACAGCCTTTCTTTTAAAGTCTATTTTTCCTGGTATAAGTATTGCTACCCCAGCTTTTTTGTTTCTTTTTCCATCTCTTTTCTTTCAGTATGTGTGTCTTTGAAGTGAGTCTCATGGAGGCAGAATATGTAAGGGACTTGTTACTTATCCATTCAGCCATCTTATCTTTTGATTGGCTCATTTAATCCATTAATATTTAAAGTGATTGTCGATAAGTACATAGTTATTGCCATTTTATTATTTATATTTGTGAGTTTTTTTTCTCTCCCATTCTTTTCCTTAAAGAAGTCTCTTTAACATTTCTTATAATACTGGCTTTGTGATGATGAATTTCTTCAACTTTCCTGTCTGGGAAGCTCTTTATCTCACCTTCAATTTTAAGATAGCCTTGCTGGGCGGAATAGTCTTATTGGTAAGTCCTTGCTTTTCATTACTTT